ACAACCTAGGAAAGCATTTGTGATCCTACATTTGTGACCAAGCAAGCACAACCGCCTCTCAACACTTTCTATAAACGAAAAGATCGAGTCATGAAGTCTGGAGACTGCAAAAGTAAAATTCTTTCCGCAGTGAAGGATGGAGGCAACTCCACTTCTTAACACGTGCCACCAAGTAATCTAATGAGCAGTTAAATCTTTAGAAACTAAAAGCATCCAGCTCTTTGATGCTTTATAAATGTGGAAGTAGACACATGATTTGGTAGCAGCCATTTTTCCAGGCACAGAACATTGGAAAAAAAGGTAGAAAAAAAAAAAAAGAAGGGTACATCTTACTGCTGTAGCACTGGAAGAACAGGCAAGGGCAGATGTTTTTCTAATCCTGCTGCAAGTTTACAGTGATTTCTACCCATTTAACTATTTTTTTTTTTAAAGTCATATATCTATGCTAAATTAATAATGCAATTTGAAAGTGCTGTATCCAAGACTGGCTCGACCCCAACATCTACACACCAGAAATTTCACATGCTATGCATCTGCAGGGGTGTTAGGGACCTCGGGTCTTGGCTTCTGCAACGAGATTCTGAGAGTAACCAACATCAACTCTCTCTTGTTCCTGCTGGTGTCCAAAACCGCTGCCCATGACTATTTTAAAATAACTGCTTCTGAACTGCCTGATCCTGTGGCACTTGGACTATTATTTATCTTTGTAAAAGGAGGGATTAAGTAGCAGGTGGCAGCTGTACTCCTTTCTTAGAGCTTCTCAGCAGCTTTACTGGGGATATCTTGGAGGTATCTGTTGAAGTCAGTCCTAGACAAAACTTCTGAGAACTTTCAGTCTTTAGGAAATACCTTTGTAGTCAAACTGTTGATGTGTGAGACCGATCCAGCACCCCTGTGACTAGAAGCAATAGATGAACACACCCCCAAAGAGAATATACTGGAATTCAGTTTTGATAGCAAGTAAGTTATTGCTGATTCCTGACATCCACTGGCCAAGTGCATTATCACTGGAAGAGACAACTAGAAAAAATACAGCGGTCAGGTCATCTCAAACATGCTATGTACGTAGTTTGTAAATCAGAACATTTCTCCATGAACCCAGGCTGCTGCAGTGCTGAAAAGAAACAATAATTTCTGACATGCTGTTGCGAAGCCTCCTGCTCCATGAGAGTGACAGGAAAGCTGACAACATCCAGGTGGCAATTTATCCTTATTGAAGAGGTTAGATGCTAACATTAGAGACTGAAAGAGCGTAACTAAACTATAAGAATATGTTTCTTATACGTTAGTTGTATAGTTGGGATATGTGCATTGCCACTTTAGTTTACAGCTAATGCTATGCGAAATAAAACCCAGACTCAAGAATACCGAAATATAGTAATTTCAGCTGGCTCAATACTATATTTACAGGAAAGATCCAAAAGAAACACAAGACAGCTCAAGCGTGACATGTAATGAAAGGGCACGTCCATCCTCTCCAGTGCAATAACTATGAAAGCACAACTGCTTTCCCCAGAAATTGTAGTATAGCGCGTAGTTACTGAATAATGTGGAAAGAATACCTGCTTACCCCAGCCTGGACCTGAAAACTAACATTCTTAGCTGTTCAACCATAAGGTAGCTCAGTCTTAAGTGTATACACTCTGCCATTTCCACATATATGCAGTCTACCAGCTAAAAGCAGAGCAAAGAAAGAGGCAGTTGGACAGTTGACATCTCCTGTTCCACCCAGCATCCGACACAACACGCAGGCACCCCTGGCAGAGTTCACTTAAATTTAGCGGCCTTGTTGGAATAGCCCAACTCAACCCTGCTTCATCCACCGTACGAGCTGGGGTAGGGAACTTGCCAAGCAACCCAACTAACCTCCAAAGAGATCCACTTCAGCAGGGGCAGCAGTAACGGTGGTGGTTGTAGCGGCAGCGGCCGTAGTGGTTGGAGTATCAGTAGTTGCAGCAGGAGTTGCAGTAGGCTCTGGGGCAAACGGATCTGAGATCTGCGGCTCAGAGGTAACGCCGGAAAGCGCGGCCAGATTATCTACACGCAACCAGACGATGGAGATCAAACAAGAAAAGTCAAGGGGAGAGAGACCGCAATCACTCAAGCTCCAGAAAGCTGGAGCTTTTAATGAGTCTTAACGTTCAAAAGTCTTAGAAATCAAAAACACTACTCACCCTCTCCCAAGAGGTCTAGCGATTGTCCATTAAAATGGCAGCAGAATAAAGAAACAGACCAATTAGTAGAATTGCCAGACTGAAGATGTTCATTAGCCACGTGTTCATTCTCTAAGTGACATGTCTAGGTTAAACATAATTTCTGCGCTTGGTTTTGCAACGTCCAAGAAGTTATGATTACAGGACAAAGCTCATTCTGCTTAACAACTCTCTTCAAAACAGAAGCAGTGCCTAAGTTTCACATATCTGCTAAGTTCCTTAATATCTGACCAGCAAAATATTCAGACACAAGGTAGTATTTATCGCTTCTGTTTTATACAGCTGGTTTTCCTCTCTTAAACTGTAACAGAGAGAACCAACCACTGGCCTGTAAGGGTTGGCAGGAAGGTCTCCTACCTTTCACTACCCAAGGATAAAGCCAAGAACCGCTTCTTTAGAAGCCAAATTCACCACTACGCTAGCTCTCTCTTGCATTTAGCTTAGCAGTGTGAGAGTAAGACCAGAAGTAGGCAGACTTCCCTGAATTTTATGAAAAACTAACAACCCCCAAGAACACTGAAAATTTTAAACTCAAGTTTCTGGGCCTATCAGCTCACAGATTGAAGACTTTCACCACATAAAAGCATACATGGGAAGAGTGACCCCTGATGAACCCAGTGCTCACATGGAAGTATAGTCAACAGGCATAGTTAAAGCTTATTTAAATTAATGAGCTATTAGCAGAACACACTCAGATACCAAAGAGAATCCCAAGATAATTCTGCTTAGTTGCAAGTATTTTCTAGACAAACACAGTCAAAAAGCAGTCAATATCAATGTAACAGCCATTGAAAGTAGATAGAATTTAGCTTACTGTTCTGCCAAAGTGAGCTGTCGTGATCCACCTCCCAGCCCTAGAACCCTTCACAAAACTGGCACTAAACCCAGGCTACTCCAGCAGAGTAGGACAAGAGGAAATGGCTTCAAGTTGCACCAGGGGAGGTTCAGATTGGATATTAGGAAAAATTTCTACACGGAAAGTGTTATTGAGCATTGGAATAGGCTGCCCAGGGAAGTGGTTGAGGCACCATCCCTGGACATATTTAAAAGATGGGTTGACATAGTGCTTAGTGATGGTTTTTATCAGAGTTAGGTTGATGGTTGGACTAGATGATCTTAAAGGTCCTTTCCAACATAGACAACTCTATCATTTTATGAAATGCAGTGTTAAGTTACTTCAGGATACAATGTACAGCATCTCTACTGCTGCAAGTGTATTCTGAGGCAGACAGACCGTGGTTCTTTACTTGAGACAACTATTTAGCCAAAAAAAAACCCCAACCACAAATCAAAAACAAACAAACAAACCCCAAAACAACAACCTAGGAAAGCATTTGTGATCCTACATTTGTGACCAAGCAAGCACAACCGCCTCTCAACACTTGCAATGAGGAAAATAAATAATTGACAGCATAAGCAGGCTGGCTCTGTTCCAACCTTGGTTCCTTAGTCAACTCTTTCTGGAAGCCGTTGAAGAATCTTTAATTTCCTACTATTTGATGTCTTCTGAGATCAGTCAGATTGAGCTCAAAGACAGAGGAAGCCTTGCCTACACAAAAACCAACTATCACAGAATGATACAGGGTCGGAAGGGACCTCTGGAGATCATCTAGTCCAACTCCCCTGCCAGAGCAGGTCCACCCAGAGCAGGTTGTACAGGAACGTGTCCAGGGGGGTTTGAATGTCTCCAGAGACAGAGACTCCACCACCTCTCTGGGCAGCCTCTTCCAGGGCTCTGCCACCCTCACAGGAAAGAAGTTCCTCCTCATGTTCAGGTGGAACTTCTTATGTTCATGTTTGTGCCTGTTCCCTCTTGTCCTGTCACTGAGCACCACTGAAAAAAGACTGGCCCCATCCTCCTGACACCCACCCTTTAAGTATTTATAGGTGTATATACTATAAGCTATAAAAACCTGGGAAAACTAATCAGTTTGGCCCATTACATTTTTATACTGCAGTTAGGGTAGCCTGAGCACTATAAGCTATAAAAACCTGGGAAAACTAACCACTTTGGCCCATTACATTTTTATACTGCAGTCAGAGTAGCCTGAGCTCAGCAACTTCCTATTTACTAAGCGGTAGCTCCGTGCTGCTCCTGGATTCACTGCAGATATAACAGGGTCATCAGGTGCATCTGATCCACACTGAAGAGCAAGCACGGAGTCCAGATGCTTTACCGTGGGTCAGTAGGTAGGAAGCAAAATGCTTTGAGCAAGTTTGCCTTTATTTTGCAACACTTGTTAAGAAGGACCTTTTTAACACGTAAGTCTTTTCGTAACGAAATATAGTAATTTCAGCTGGCTCAATACTATATTTACAGGAAAGATCCAAAAGAAACACAAGACAGCTCAAGCGTGACATGTAATGAAAGGGCAGGGCGCTGCCACGTCCATCCTCTCCAGTGCAATAACTATGAAAGCACAACTGCTTTCCCCAGAAATTGTAGTATAGCGCGTAGTTACTGAATAATGTGGAAAGAATACCTGCTTACCCCAGCCTGGACCTGAAAACTAACATTCTTAGCTGTTCAACCATAAGGTAGCTCAGTCTTAAGTGTATACACTCTGCCATTTCCACATATATGCAGTCTACCAGCTAAAAGCAGAGCAAAGAAAGAGGCAGTTGGACAGTTGACATCTCCTGTTCCACCCAGCATCCGACACAACACGCAGGCACCCCTGGCAGAGTTCACTTAAATTTAGCGGCCTTGTTGGAATAGCCCAACTCAACCCTGCTTCATCCACCGTACGAGCTGGGGTAGGGAACTTGCCAAGCAACCCAACTAACCTCCAAAGAGATCCACTTCAGCAGGGGCAGCAGTAACGGTGGTGGTTGTAGCGGCAGCGGCCGTAGTGGTTGGAGTATCAGTAGTTGCAGCAGGAGTTGCAGTAGGCTCTGGGGCAAACGGATCTGAGATCTGCGGCTCAGAGGTAACGCCGGAAAGCGCGGCCAGATTATCTACACGCAACCAGACGATGGAGATCAAACAAGAAAAGTCAAGGGGAGAGAGACCGCAATCACTCAAGCTCCAGAAAGCTGGAGCTTTTAATGAGTCTTAATGTTCAAAAGTCTTAGAAATCAAAAATACTACTCACCCTCTCCCAAGAGGTCTAGCGATTGTCCATTAAAATGGCAGCAGAATAAAGAAACAGACCAATTAGTAGAATTGCCAGACTGAAGATGTTCATTAGCCACGTGTTCATTCTCTAAGTGACATGTCTAGGTTAAACATAATTTCTGCGCTTGGTTTTGCTACGTTCAAGAAGTTATGATTACAGGACAAAGCTCATTCTGCTTAACAACTCTCTTCAAAACAGAAGCAGTGCCTAAGTTTCACATATCTGCTAAGTTCCTTAATATCTGACCAGCAAAATATTCAGACACAAGGTAGTATTTATCGCTTCTGTTTTATACAGCTGGTTTTCCTCTCTTAAACTGTAACAGAGAGAACCAACCACTGGCCTGTAAGGGTTGGCAGGAAGGTCTCCTACCTTTCACTACCCAAGGATAAAGCCAAGAACCGCTTCTTTAGAAGCCAAATTCACCACTACGCTAGCTCTCTCTTGCATTTAGCTTAGCAGTGTGAGAGTAAGACCAGAAGTAGGCAGACTTCCCTGAATTTTATGAAAAACTAACAACCCCCAAGAACACTGAAAATTTTAAACTCAAGTTTCTGGGCCTATCAGCTCACAGATTGAAGACTTTCACCACATAAAAGCATACATGGGAAGAGTGACCCCTGATGAACCCAGTGCTCACATGGAAGTATAGTCAACAGGCATAGTTAAAGCTTATTTAAATTAATGAGCTATTAGCAGAACACACTCAGATACCAAAGAGAATCCCAAGATAATTCTGCTTAGTTGCAAGTATTTTCTAGACAAACACAGTCAAAAAGCAGTCAATATCAATGTAACAGCCATTGAAAGTAGATAGAATTTAGCTTACTGTTCTGCCAAAGTGAGCTGTCGTGATCCACCTCCCAGCCCTAGAACCCTTCACAAAACTGGCACTAAACCCAGGCTACTCCAGCAGAGTAGGACAAGAGGAAATGGCTTCAAGTTGCACCAGGGGAGGTTCAGATTGGATATTAGGAAAAATTTCTACACGGAAAGTGTTATTGAGCATTGGAATAGGCTGCCCAGGGAAGTGGTTGAGGCACCATCCCTGGACATATTTAAAAGATGGGTTGACATAGTGCTTAGTGATGGTTTTTATCAGAGTTAGGTTGATGGTTGGACTAGATGATCTTAAAGGTCCTTTCCAACATAGACAACTCTATCATTTTATGAAATGCAGTGTTAAGTTACTTCAGGATACAATGTACAGCATCTCTACTGCTGCAAGTGTATTCTGAGGCAGACAGACCGTGGTTCTTTACTTGAGACAACTATTTAGCCAAAAAAAAACCCCAACCACAAATCAAAAACAAACAAACAAACCCCAAAACAACAACCTAGGAAAGCATTTGTGATCCTACATTTGTGACCAAGCAAGCACAACCGCCTCTCAACACTTGCAATGAGGAAAATAAATAATTGACAGCATAAGCAGGCTGGCTCTGTTCCAACCTTGGTTCCTTAGTCAACTCTTTCTGGAAGCCGTTGAAGAATCTTTAATTTCCTACTATTTGATGTCTTCTGAGATCAGTCAGATTGAGCTCAAAGACAGAGGAAGCCTTGCCTACACAAAAACCAACTATCACAGAATGATACAGGGTCGGAAGGGACCTCTGGAGATCATCTAGTCCAACTCCCCTGCCAGAGCAGGTCCACCCAGAGCAGGTTGTACAGGAACGTGTCCAGGGGGGTTTGAATGTCTCCAGAGACAGAGACTCCACCACCTCTCTGGGCAGCCTCTTCCAGGGCTCTGCCACCCTCACAGGAAAGAAGTTCCTCCTCATGTTCAGGTGGAACTTCTTATGTTCATGTTTGTGCCTGTTCCCTCTTGTCCTGTCACTGAGCACCACTGAAAAAAGACTGGCCCCATCCTCCTGACACCCACCCTTTAAGTATTTATAGGTGTATATACTATAAGCTATAAAAACCTGGGAAAACTAATCAGTTTGGCCCATTACATTTTTATACTGCAGTTAGGGTAGCCTGAGCCAGCAACTTCCTATTTACTAAGCGGTAGCTCCGTGCTGCTCCTGGATTCACTGCAGATATAACAGGGTCATCAGTTGCATCTGATCCACACTGAAGAGCAAGCACGGAGTCCAGACGCTTTACTGTGGGTCAGTAGGTAGGAAGCAAAATGCTTTGAGCAAGTTTGCCTTTATTTTGCAACACTTGTTAAGAAGGACCTTTTTAACACGTAAGTCTTTTCGTAATTGGTTCCTTGGGAGAGAGTTCTTCTGGAGACTGACTGCACAAGCTGAGGTGAGTCAAAATACCATTCTGAAAGAGCCTAACAGCCTATTAAAAATGCAGCACTCGGGTATCTCATTACTGCACACCAGGTAGACGTCTCACAGCTAGGCTTAGAAATAAACAACTGTTGGCAAACTTTGGCCCTCTATTAGCTTATTCTTTCAATGCCCTTTTGTTATCCAGTTATGTTATAGAACACAATACAGTGAAATTGCAATCATCCAGCATGGAAATCTACACTTACTCTTAATATGGAAAGGATTAAAACCAATGCTTTATTGTGTTGTAATATTAAAGGAACAATACTAATAGCAAATCCATGTTCTAAGGCACACTACAAGGTAGTTCAGAGCAGATATTCAAGTCAATTTGCTTTTATATCCGAGAGTCAGACCTCATGAGGATGCAGGATTTGACCCACTGTATTTTTTGTAATGCTACAGACTAGTTTGCCTGCCAAATGCCTATCCATCCACCTCGTGGTACACTGCAGGCAACTTATTACCCTACCTGTTAGCACAGAAGTGTAGATTTTCACAAGTTCATCTGCTAGATAACTTATGTTGTATTCAGAAATCTACTAGGTATACAACAAAAGCTATAGTGTACTGTATATACCACTAAATATACAGTGTATCACACCAAATATACAGTACGTGCCAGAATAAATAGAATCTACACTGCCAGTAAGACTGAGAAAGCAGGACCGTTTGTTGGTGACATGAATCCCTGAGGTTTATGTGACATTTAAAGTGCCAGTTTGATGCTGCATCTCAAAGTAATTGCTATTCACATTTTCCTAACTATTCTGAACTGCAGCAATTCTTCTTCCAGCTTCCTCCCCCTACTACCTCTTTCTCATGAGTTCCCACCTTAACCTCCTGTGGGCCAGAAGAGTTTTGCAGATGAGGAAAAAGCCCAAACAGCAGGGGGGCACTGGTATACATCCTCCCAAAAGTCCCAGGTGGAAGGAAGGTCATCTTGTCCAGCCTCCGGCTCATAACAATGTTATGGCCAACACCAGATCAGGGCAGTCAAGGCTTTGTCTGGTCAGGTTTTGAAAAATCTGCAGGAATGGAGACCCCACTGCTCACATCAGGGATCTGCTCCACTACTGCCCTACCCTCCAAGGGAAATTATTTTTTCTTTATGTCCAATCAGCCTCTGAAGCTGCAACCTGTTGTTATTACCCCTCACTCTGATCCCTGGAGTCCTGGTAGCTCTCTGGCTTAAACAGCAGAGCCCAGAACTGGATGCAGTATTCCTGATGTTGTCCCATCTGCACTAATTAGAAAGCTCTGAAGTACCTATGATATTGTACAATTTATAATGACTACTGGTTTCAGACTGCAGATTTAGTTTAAATAAGTAATTTAAAACAAAACAAAGCAACCCTTAACACAGACTCAAAGGTTTTCTCATTACCATTAATAGAAATTTCAGTATTTTCACAACAAAGCCATTCCAGTTCTCAATTTGTGCATGTCTGGCATGGTGTTTGACAATTATTTAAGAGGGTTGAAAAACAGGGTGGGGGGAAAAAAAAAGGCAAAATTCCAGTGCAGCAACAGGTCATCATACCTGGGCTCTTGCCAGCGGTAAAGCTGACCAACTTGAAGCTTACCAAGTTACCAAAATGCTATTCTGAAAGGTAAGACTGAACTACTTGTGACAAGGTTAGCAATAATCCTGGCCACAGGAAAAAAAGTTAGCTGTCCTTTTCCATTGTGGAAGAAGAGGACTAGGAGCATAACCAGTCAATTTTAAAAGTTTTCAGTAATTCAGAAGAATCAACACACCTAAGTTCCAAACTGCAGGTGCTTTGTCCAAAAGAGCAAAGCAAAAAAACACATCAAATCAGCTTTCAATTGCAATGTGAATTACTATTTTACAATATTATTGGCCATTTACTCTGCATAAATGAGTAACTGCTTTCAGAAGTTAGCTGAGAAGCCTGAGCTCCTTCAAACTCCTCAAAAGCTTGTGTTCCAGTACTTGGCAATGACAAAGCAAGACAAATAGGATGCAATCAAAAACTACAGAGTAATTAGTCTCAGGCATCCAAGCATAGATGACTCTTTGGTCTTGCTTTCTGGGCATGATTACATTTCAGCTAACAAAACTGACACTTCTGCAAAAAAAAAATAATAAATGTTTCAATTCAACAGATTAAATAGGAATATGCAAAACATGGTCTAAATGAGAGCCAAAGTTCTCCTGTCATAAAGAAGTGGCTGAGATATAACATCATCTTTAATGAGCTGAAGCTAAGAAGAGAAATAGGGAATGCAGAAGCCACCAGTACCCAGCACTATTAGCATTCAGAGCAGAGTCAGCATGACTCAGTGTCGCGTTCCTGCCGTGAGAGGGCTGATGGGTTCATTAAGTTGCCACACAAGTGACGAGCTCTTAAGATTACACCGCAGTGTGGGTTTACAACTGCATTAAGCTAAATCACATTTACTGGCCTAATTCCCTGCCGTCGCAGGCCAGGAATGAACATTGCCTACGTTTATCAGGGTCCTCTTCAGCTCACCAGCTGCTGGTGCTGCCTGAAACGACAGGCTCAGTTCACCACAGAGCTGGTCAGGCATTCCCATGTGAAGGCAGTTAGCCCTCTACTTCTATTTTCATGTTATTATTCTAAGCAGACAAGTAAGATTTTAATAAAAATGCATTAAGGGTTGTTAGAGGTAATCACACTTGCAGCAGAACTGATTTGCCACCGCTGGCTTTAGATGTATTTTTGTTTCAAAAGCTATTTTTGATCATAGAGTCACAGAGTCATAGAGCTGTCCAGGCCGGAAGGGACCTCCAAAGGTCATCTAGTCTGGCCTCCCCGCAGTCAGCAGGGACACCCCCAACTAGACCAGGTTGCCCAGGGCCTCGTCGAGCCTCACCTTGAATATCTCCAGGGAAGGGGCCTCAACCACCTCCCTGGGCAACCTGTTCCAGTGCTCCACCACCCTCACAGTGAAGAACCCTCTCCTAATCTCCGGTCTAAAGCTGTTCCCCTCCAGCTTGAAGCCATTGCCCCTCATCCTATCACTGCAGGCCTTTGTAAACAGGTTCTCCCCAGCCTTCCTGTAGGCTCCCTTCAGGTACTGGAAGGCCGCTATTAGGTCTCCCTGGAGCCTCCTCTTCTTCAGGCTGAACAACCCCAGCTCCCTCAGCCTGTCCTTGTAGCAGAGGTGCTCCATCCCCCTGATCATCCTCGTGGCCCTCCTCTGGACCCTCTCCATCAGGTCCATGTCCTTCTTAAATTGAGGGATCCAGACCTGCACACAATACTCCAGGTGAGGTCTCACCAGAGCAAAGTGGAAGAATTACCTCTCTGGACCTGAATTCTTCCACCTGAAGTGGAAGTATTACCTCTCTCATCCTCCCCCTCCTGACCTATGGGCTTCGCTTTATGAACACAAGAGATGATTTCTGCCCTCGCTTTGCCAACCAGCACAGGAACAGTTCTAGTTTTCCTGCTCTAAAGTGCCTACCCTACCTGTTCACCTTCAGCCATCCCCCTTCCCTGCTTACTTTCAGTCCCATAATCCTGGCTCCCCCCCAGCTTTGCCCTCAGGCCCTTATAAGCAGCTTATACTCTTATGCATATCCCTGGAAAGCAGGCTGAACAACCCCAGCTCCCTCAGCCTGTCCTTGTAGCAGAGGTGCTCCATCCCCCTGATCATCCTCGTGGCCCTCCTCTGGACCCTCTCCATCAGGTCCATGTCCTTCTTATATTGAGGGCTCCCGACCTGCACACAATACTCCAGCTGAGGTCTCACCAGAGCAAAGTGGAAGAATTACCTCTCTGATCCTCCCCCTCCTGACCTATGGGCTTCACTTTATGAACACAAGAGCTGATTTCTGCCCTCACTTTGCCAACCAGCACAGGAACGGTTCTAGTTTTCCTGCTCTAAAGTGCCTACCCTACCTGTTCACCTTCAGCCATCCCCCTTCCCTGCTTACTTTCAGTCCCATAATCCTGGCTCCCCCCCAGCTTTGCCCTCAGGCCCTTATAAGCAGCTTATACTCTTATGCATATCCCTGGAAAGATCTTGCTCTGCGAAGGGATGCCTGGCTGTCAGGTCAGCAGAAGCCTGGGAGAGAGCTGGGAACATCCTGTGCTAGCAGGGAAAAGAGCCAGGTTTCAGTTCAGCCAGGCAAAAAAGACGGAGACTGCAAGAATTGAGGCTGAGAGTGAGGTTTCTCTACCTCCCCACGAAGTGGCTCCGGCGGCGGCTGCTGGAGCCGCCTGCCCGCCTGCCCCGGCGAAATCTGGCTGCAGATCCAGAAGGTCGCTGGATGGTTTGGAAGAGCTGCCAAGGAAAGGAAGAGAGATATTAAATACTGGAGGAATTTGTCCATTTCAATAAAGTTAAAAAAATAAATCATAGCTGGAACGTAGGAATTACCCTTAGTTTGGATGACTGATGAAAACACCGAGAGAGACTTTTTTTTTTCAGGCCTTAGGATAAGAGCAGTGGCCATAAATACCTCTACTGCAGTAAGTGGCAAGAAAACATTACACTCCATGACGGGACCTTGACTTACTTCCATTATTTGATAATGACATCATAACAGATCTATGAGACTTTTACAATCCTTAAAAAAAAAAACAAATAAAACAAAAAAACAAACAAAACCACCCAAAACCAAAATGCCAGGTGGTTCCCTAAGAGCAGAGCAAATAAATGCTGCAACTGAAAACAGCTCCATTCTGCTTCACTATTTCCGTGTGCCATGACAGAAAGCAAGAAACCTGCTTTTCCAGGCAATAAACAGGCATTAAATAGAAAAGAGTTGGTGAAACTTCTAGGATATTTGCTTAGGAAACAAGGCCTTGTTCATTTAGAACACTGAAATAATAAAAGCTCTTTTTTCAGTGAAGTACTTCATCTGACATTTAACTGAAGTTTGTCACGTCTTCAGACTCCTGGTTCAAGCTTAGAGCTTTTGCATGTCTCAAGTTCTTTCATTTCTGCTCATTACAATGAGCAGCAGCAGCTTGTTCCAGCCTTGACTTGAAAGCAAGCTTCAAATTTTCTCATTGGTCAAATGTTTATTTTTTCATTTTAACCTCCAAAAGTTCATTATTTTTGTGCTTCATTAACTAATTTGAACAGCAAGAAAAAGGAATCTTAATTCAGCAGTTTTAGAAGCACAATACTGAAGGTCAGCAAAGACTCCTTCAGATTTGCACGTTACTTCAGTCTATTCAATTAAAAGTTCATGTTGGAAATGCTACAACATCACTACTACACTGAAAGCAAATCAGAGTAGCTACAATTTATTTATTTTTTTTTTATTAGAGCTCATTTGTGGTCTCTGCTGGTAGAATAATGTAGCCAATTCACTATTTATGTACACCATCCGTTGGTGTCTTAGATGGTTGGACCAGATGATCTTTTTTTTTTTTTTTTTTATTAGAGCTCATTTGTGGTCTCTGCTGGTAGAATAATGTAGCCAATTCACTATTTATGTACACCATTGGTTGGTGTCTTAGTTGGTTGGACTAGATGATCTTAAAGGTCCCTCCAACCTAGACAATTCTAAGTAAGCAAAATCTTGCAAAACCCTCCTGTTACAAGTGTCACTTTGGCATCTACATCAAGCTCAATCATTCCAATATTTTATTTTTTTTAAAACTTACCTGACTGGCGCAGCTGTAGATGAAGTTGCAAAAAGATCAACTGGAGGAGATGTATCGATAGTTTTCGCTGGAGTAGAACTAGGAGATGTAACAGTTGTGGCCGGAGAAGACTGGAGAAATATTTTAAATACATGTTCACTACACCAGCATTTCTCCACAAACAACTCATGCACAGATTCACATACTTTAAAAATCCAATTTTGACAAGAGATCTTATTATCATGACCTGTTCTCCCCTTTGAGAGTATTTAAGGAAGACTAAGCTGAGTTTTCAGAAGGTGGTGGAGCTGGGAAACTCTGAGGTGACTCCACCTCACAGTGCCTGCCTCAAGAGGAAATGCCTACTGCAGGTGCTCTGAACATCCCTTGGCTTGAAAACTCACCCAACATCTAGGCAACTAACTCAAACAAATGATCCAGAGTTGCTTTACCAGCCTTTTAAAATCCCAAATAGGGTAACTATGTTCCTATGTGTCAAAGGATTCTCAGCAAGTTCCAAGAAAATGGTTTGCTCCTCAGTAAACTCCCTCCTCTCAGTTTTAAGACCATCCTGGAGCTGGGAGGAGCAAAGAATTTTTGTGGGCTTGTTTCTGCATCTGTCAGACCCTTCATTTTGTCCACAGAATGAACTATCTGTTAGTCCACAACAGCACCCTTAGCACTCGAATCGCAGAAACGATGGGAGAAGGGAAATGGTTAGAAACTAAGTTAAAAGTATGAACCTTCAGCCTGGAGAGAGTTTAAGAGCAAAACCATGTCCTATGCTTAGCCCTGATTGCCATTCTGACTACTTCCAAGCAAGAAAAAGAATGGCAAATTTGAAGTTACTTTCTTCTGAGTTCTGCTACTGCCATCCCATCACCACAACTCTAGCAGGAGATGGATATAAGCTTTCTAGACTCTCCTCAAGCCTTTACTAGGGTTTGAGGCTAGAGTGGTCCAAATTCTTCATGTAAATCAGCAAAGAGGCGATTACTTGAAGTTTTAAGACCACTTTCTGAGCCACCATGTAGTTCTTGCCAACTGCTACAGTATTAGACAAGGAAGTTTTTTGTTTGTTTCTTTTAAAAAGGGCTTTTTGGAAAGAAATTCAAGAGCTTTCACCATAATCACCCACCAAACTGTCTCCCCCACATTCAGAGGTTTTAATTGAGTTTTTCCTGCACGACACCCGTTACCAGACACAAGACACAGACCTACAGCACCTGGCAACGCTTCAGGGATACCAGGAACTACTATTACTGACACCATAAAGCTCATTAGTTCCTCTGACACTCAAACCAAGACGTTTTCACTGGCAACTCTTGCTTCAGATTAAGGTGAGCAGACTCACTAATAAAGGTCAATTCTGAAACTAGGTGTATCGGATGAGAGTTTTCTTCCTGGCTTTTCACATGAATGTGGTTTTAGAAGAGCTGCAAAATGGATTGAAGATTGAAAAAAAAAAAAAAAGCTGCAAATGGATTGAAGAGTTTGGAGGAGATACAGTACCGAGTAAGAAAGAAAACAAAAAAAGGAGTTGAGACAAAGATATGTGCATCTTTTTTGCTTTCACAAAGCTTTGCCATCAAATCCTGGCAAAGCTGCTTAGCACCCTGCACTGGTGTAAGCACCGCAGCCCTTCAGATCAATGAAGTGCTTTTATGGGGCCATTATTTACAAGGCCATTAGAAGATGCATTTTTTTTCAGTCAGGTAGGACCTGGGTAGTGAGGCCTAAAAAGCAGATGAGGAGACAGAAATTTAACTCTTTATGGCCTTAAGATATTCTAAAGCATATCACCTGAACAATAATTAACTAATACAGCAATTTGCAGTATTTACCTTGCTCAGAGGGGAATGGTTGGACTATCTGGAAAAAAAAAAAGGAAAAAAGAAAAAAGGGTGTTTTCATATAAGTACACTTTTGGAAACTATGGTTCTGGTCATCAAAACACCTGCAAAAATGCCAAAAGCTAAGCATGACAGCTTTCTGAAGTTCTCTACAATTGCATGACTTCCCCATTTCTCAAACTCACATCCCACTTTGGACAAGGAATACAAATTTTTACTTCAAACCTTAAATGAATCTTTTAAGTTAACTGTTATCACAGCATTATTTTGCCTTTTAAATAAAGTCTACAAGAGTTACTGGGGCAAGATGTTGCCATATTACAAAATCATGCAACAGCAGCAGAGTAAGACCGATATGGAAGCAGTTCTCCAACATAAGCCTTCTGATGATATGTCAGTGAATTCTCAGAGTCTACTGTTCTTTTAAAGAAAGTGAGAGTTACTTTAAAATAATGGTATTTAAAAGTCTGGAAACAGTTAAGTTAGCAAGTCCAAGCTGAAAGTTCTCCAACATGCAAGAAAAATCACACTAACGCTAGCGACAGAGCCTTAATCGTAAGTTAAAATGTACGTCAGTGCATTTGTTTACTTTTATTATTACAAGATATGAAAATACTGCTACATATTTTTAGAGCTGCTTTGATCCAGGAGATGAAAGGAGGAGTTGAAGTTAAAATTGCACTTGTATTGAACTAGGATGCAACCTACAAGTTACTCAAATTGGGCAGGTCTTAGGAGCTGTAGAACTGATTAGAAGATCTGGAGCTATGACAGAAATGACCAAAAAAACCTTAATGATTACATACAAAAAGCGAGCAGCAGTTTAGGTACAATTTAAAGAAGATACCTATTTCTAAGCATTCAAGCCATCTTAAAAAAAAGCATAACCATGTCTGCATGCAAGTGATAGTAAACGTATGTACTTACCCTTCGCTAAATTGCAAGGAAAGCAACAGTAAAAGAGAAAACACAGGTTTAGCTTAATCCTTCACAGAATTAGCCATGACAAGTATCTAGTAAGAAGATGCAAAGCCATTAGAAAACAAATACATTTTGATGACAAAAGCCTCAGCAGCAGGGAAAAACAAGTTCCTTCTAGGGGTTGTCAGTAGTTAATTTGACTTAATTTTGGAATACATTTTGATGACAAAAGCCTCAGCAGCAGGGAAAAACGAGTTCGTTCTAGGGGTTTTCAATAGTCAATTTGATTTAATTTTGGAAAATGTCTAGCTGTTTGCTGTGTCATTTCCCTCCACCCTCCCCAGTAAGAAAAAAAAAAAAGTTGCAATTAAGATGACTTTGTAAGAGAAAGGAAAAGCCTAGTCTTACTACAGTTTGTTTTCCAGCTAAGTGGCAATAGGAGGTTGGGGGAATCAAACCTAAACACCAGCTAGTCTCACATTGTTATCATTACACCTTGAGAGATGGTACAACATATATACCTACTTGTTGCCAGGTTTTTTTCCTTCCAGTGAGTTTAGATGCTGCTCGAGGGTCTCCATGAGACTGCTGGGAGCCTTGAAAGAAAAGAGAAAGATAAACCTCTAAATACACTGCACTGGACCTAACGATACTCTGAAACCCAGCACCATCTTCCCTGAAGTCCACCACGTGCATGCTCATGCTGTTATTTTATTTACCCCTCAGTGAAAGCAGTGGATTTCCATGCTAGAAGGATTCAGGCAGAGACAGCTTTTGAAAGATGACGCTGTGTCCAGATTTGCAGAGGGAAACCATTTACCTCTCCTAAAAAGTGCCTGAAGCCCAAATCCAGGTTGTGCTGCTCACCGTGCTTTGAGTCGGTGTCAAACACCAACAACAGCACAGACACCCACAGGGTTAATTAATTTTAAGAGTAATAGGTTCAAGGTCATCCTTTGGATTTTGCTTTTAGTCAAATCTCCAACACCTCTTTCACCATCAGAGGGTTAGATGATATTTGTAGCCTAAACAAACCAAACTAGAAGTCCTTTCCAATGCTCCCAAAAGCCTGCAGGTCAAGACTCCCAACACCACAAAAATCTTATAGCTGTTTCTTCTCAACACGGTAGCCAGGCACAGGTTACTGAGCCCAGCAGCTCACTCAAAATTCAGAGAGATTACTCTTTTAGACATCTATAAAAACTAAGCTTTTTTTAGTCCTCCGCAATCTTAGGTTTTACTTTTTAAGCAACCTTTTTTGTGGTCAGGCAACGCTCCCAGGCATGCACTTGCTGTTACAAAGGTAGATAGGAAAAGTCATAAATGAAAATGACAGGGAGCTTAACTACTCCCATATAAAAATAGAGTCCAGATAAGTAGGCTCCTACAAGACCAACAAACAAGGAGGAAACCCTTGAGAGACACAGTAGCATATAACAGTCAAGTATTTCCATCAGGGTTACCGGTTCCTCAATGGTACAGTCTTTAAACGGGGAATTCTCTTTATCAGCCTCTTTCAGATCAACCACAATTCCTGACAGCAATACCTATGGTGTTTTTCATAAATAATGTCTTTAATTTCAAGGTATATGTAGGCATCAAAAAAAGTCAGTTTGTGATGCTTGAAAAGAGACTATCCACTGCTCTGATGTGCAGTAAGCTGAAAGCCAGCTGGCTGGCTAAATCAGCTAAATGTTAATTTTTTGTATTAAAACTGAGCAGTAAGGTAACTTAACACATGCAGAAATTTAAAATACTCAAAAAAAATCCTTAAATGATGGCTTGAGTTTAGATATGTCCCATGTACACATGCAATGCAGAAACATCTTAACCACTGCTGCTTTTACAAGCATATTTATTCATTTTCAACTAATTTGGGCAGAATTTGGTTAAACACAAGTGACTTAGTTACAAGAATTCTCCAGCAGCAAGAAAAAGATGAGCAAAGACTCTCTTTTGTCAAAAAAAAAAATCAATAATAAAATCCAGACTTCTATGTATTCTAAAAGGCTACAGCACAAGATACGAGTTGTGCCTACTGAAACATAAAGCAGAAAGCTCTGTTTCAAAAGAAAAAAGCCATTATTTCCTCTACACACGTCAACGAGCTTTCCAATACATTATTCACAGGTTTCTTTAAAGTCCACAAGGTAATATGAAACTCATCTATCAAACAGAATTCACGGAGGAAGCTTCAGAAAATTTCTATCCAGATGCAATAATCTGAAAATTAAGTATTGTCTGATATTCAATTTGCAACATTGAGCATTGCTTCATTGCTTCGAGATACTGCTTCAACATTAGACTAATCTATCAGTCACCATCATGGTGGAACCTTCTATGTGGGTTCCCCAGTAGCTATTTGCGGCCATACTTTAAGAATTGGTAATAAATAAAAATGAGCCAAGCTCTTTAGCTGCCAAGATGCCTCCTCAGCCTCCAAAACATCACAGTCAAACTAGAAAGTCCAATGATGACAGCTATCAACTTGTATTTCACTACTGTGACCACTTTTTTGGGGTTTACAGAGTATGTGTAGACCTCAAACGTCAACACAACCAACTCCTTCTGGAAATACTACTGACTACTGCCATGGCTTCCTTTAGGAATTTAGGTATACCGTTGATATTATATACAATTATATATTACTTATTAGCTGAAATTCAGTTTTATTATTTGAACTTGAGCTACAAGCTGCAAAAATCTATGCAAAGAGCAAAACAAGTCTACCCTACAACTGTATGTCAGAAGTCATCGCGTGAGACATTATTTTAGTTGTATCAGTGTTCAAAAATAGCTTTGGGCGTTCTTATTTGCAAGTTGGGAGGGCTTTAAAATGGTGTGACTTCCTACCAACATTTACATGCCTGGTGTGCTTCCTAATTACAGAACTTTCAGTTACTACCCAGATCCAAAAAGACTACAAGAGAAGCTTACCTGTGTAAGATCAGGGATATCGCCTTTGTCAATTCCAACTTGCTGTGGATATAAAAGAGGTAAAATGTAACTGTGCTATTCCACTGCAGCAGGCACTAATTTTGACTAAAACTGTGAAAACTGTGGTATACTCTTCAACCTATAATGTATTTTATCTTTAGAAAAAGACTATGAAGGTAGCAAGTGGAGATGGTCCATCTTTCCAGCAGCTGCCTTCAACCACCTGCAGCACCTTTTTAATTATTTTTTTTAATTAAATATTCATTAAAAAAAGGGGACTTTGGTTCCACCCTGGTAAAGTTCATACTCCATATTGCAAGTCAGGCAGGGCTTTCTGGTCATACCCTGTTGTCTCAAAGGACAGGGTTAGTGAACTGCTGAACACACACTGTCCAGGTGTGGACAACCTGACTATCCTAAGGAAGTTCTCTGAAGTTCAGCCAGTGAGCAAATACTAAAAGGCATCACTTTAAAAAACATATGCTAAAGCTCAAGTCACTTTGTTGTTCTGCCCTTCTCTCCTAGCATTTCAAACACACAAGACTGCAGATTTAGACCTCTTTTTGCTATCAGTTGTCCTGTTGCTTCACTGTGGCTCTTCAAAGTGCCTGCTGGTTTAGCTTTTGCAGAAGAACAAGCTCCCACTAACCCTCAAGTATAGTCACTCTAACCCCTGTCCTGCAAAGTTGATCTACAGGTGTCTAAAGTACTTCGCTCCCTCGAGTTCAACGTTCACATCAGACATTCCGTTCCAACCAGGAGTCTAGCAGGCTCCTCCAGAAATAGATGAGTAAATTAGCAAAGAAACAAACTTTTTATTTGGTTCATTACCGCTGCCTGTAATAATGAAGCGTGAAACATGGATAATGTGCATCTTGTGCCAAGGAGCCAACTACCGCAAATGAGAGCCCAGCAAAAGAGTTAATTAACCATGTAATATTCGTATTATCCACATAAGAGGATGATAACAAGGGTCAGAACTAGAAAAATCTCCCATTCCAGTTAATTTACAGTTGGCTGCAAAGACTTAAAAAGCAGACTTATAAAATCATTACGTTTTTATTCCTCTATTCCTTGCTCTATCCTCCTCTAACATTCAACCCTGTCCTAGAAGCATGCATTTACTACAGAATTTCCAAGAAATATTGATATGGTTGAAGTGCTGTCATCTGTTACGCTGCACCAGGAGAGTTGAGGCTGGATGCACAGCAGAGACATGTGAAAGTCCTAAGCAGGGCTTAACTACTGCAAGAAGAGCAGGACAACCAGATCCAGGAACTTCTATACTGCCTCGCATTTATACACACTGAGTCAGATGCTTAAACAAGTGCAATTAATACCGGTGCTAAAAAATTCACAAAGTACTTAAGTGCCAGCCTCCAGAAGACTGGAAGTCACTTACCTCTGCAACTTTAAGAAACTCTGATACTCTGGTCATTCGAGTAAGAAATCGTTTGTAGATTTCAAGAGCATCTTTACATTGTCCCTTTTTCATTTCAAAAAATTTCTCTAGAGAAATAATTTGGCAGATTTCAGTTAAGATATCTTATGTTAGTTCTGCATTCATCAGCAACTCTAGTTTTCAGGAAAATCATGTTTCAAAGAATATTGCACTGTGTCAACTTTTTTCTACTTGAACACTAAGCTAGTGGCATTCCTAGTCCTGTGTAGAATTTAGACGTTGGGCTTGCTGAACTGCTAAAGAATTATACAGACTGGAAAACTGCACCCCAACCAGCGGTAGCATTGTGTGTGACATAAACCAGGTTTTTAAAGACAAAAAGCAAACAGGTGAAGCAGCCACCAAACTTAAAAGTCAAAGTAATTAAGGACACTTCAACATATATTAATATGTACTCTCCCGTGTTGTCTTCACTTGAAAGAACAACCCCTTTTCCACTTGAGTAGCTCTCTTAAGTTGGTTCATGTCCATTATCAAGCACAACTGCCACATATTTCAACGTAAACTCATGCTTTTAACAGCAGCAGACAGTGAAATCTCAATCCAATTGTTATGCCCAGCACATTTGTACCTGCTCCATAAGCTTAGTCAAAAGACTTACTTTTATGAAACCACCACAAAGTGTTGCAACGTAGATGCAAAAAAAAAAAAATAATTGTTTGAGCTTTACAGCTCAGGACCATCTTTTTTGCCTGTTCATTGTCTGTAACCTCTCAGTTTCTTCCTGTTCCAGTGGCAGCCAGAGTTTTGGGTCAGTCACACTGGCCAAAAAATCTCAGTTCTGAGCTGTCTTTATAGACCAGCTGAAGTGCTCACAGGAGTCTTATTCAGGAGTATATTATCTCGTATCAGGCTACCACATAGAATTTATAACAGAAGAACCTGGGCATCTTAAAAATGCAATCAAAGAGGGAAAGTTCCTTCGCTAACTTTGCAGTAAATATTACGCAAGCTCACACAGCACTGTGCATTTATTTAAGCACAAAGATGCTCAGTGTCTTTAAGTAGAAATCTATGCAATTTTAAGGGCATATGACAATCCAGTCTCAGATGGACACTAATGTAAGAGATTACAGGTTAAAGTTTTCTCCCACTTCAGAAAAGAACAGTCAAGAAAAATGTAGTTTTAATGAAAGTTAAGTAAAAAAACTGACACTGATCTGAAACTCATTTTTCACTCACTCATGGTATGGGAGACATAGGCACCAGGGCACTTACCTAGTAAGTTAATAACCCCATCGTTGTAACAAGCAAAAAGTTTGATGAGATCTTTAAACAGAAGCATGAATGCAGCATTTATGACACCGTTTGTCAGTTCATTTGGATGAACCTACAAATAAAATATCAGTTACTTATGACATATGTGCTGAATGCAATCAAAAGTTTTAGCTTGTTAAAAACCAGGTATCTGATGGTGTTATAGATAGAATCAGGCACTGAATACAAGCTTTCACACAAAGAAACCAAAGGTTTCTCTTAGCAGATGTAGGATTGCTTTCTACACCATTCCAAAACAATCCACTAAAGCAGAGTAAACATCTTAGTCTTGACTCCTTCACCTATCACAAAGGGGAGGAAGGCAGAGATGCTATTAACAGAGCTTTAATGAAACTGGACAAAAGATGTCAGTTCGCAGCAGAGCTTAACAAAACCTCAGTCATCAAGTAGATAATACAGCTGTGTTAATGGCGTCAAGAATCTTCCAGTTCTTACATTAACTCGGGCAGAAAATAAGTGCTCGTTTATTAAAAGATCTTTCTTTTATTAAAAATACTTCCTCTTCTGAGACCATTATCACAATTCCTATGTGATTTAAGAACAAAAAACACATTAGCAAGATACATACTTTTAAAGCTTTCCTCTGAAAGCTGTACTTGGCTCTGCCTTCTGCCTGGGAGTGTGGCCTTCTGCCCATCAAGAACAGAACTTGTTGAAGATGTCCCTGCTCATTGCAGGGGGGTTGGACTACATGACCTTGAAGGGTCCCTTCCAACCCAAACAATTCTGTAATTCTAACTTCCGAGACTGATTCCTTCAAATACCTCTTTGCAAGGTTACACTGTACCTCCTAAAGCAATTGACTCCTGTTTTTATCCTTAAGGCAGACAAACAATCCCACCAACATCCATAACATTATAAATATATTGTAGACACGTCTATGAACAGTCTAGATTAAAGTTTAGCCAATTTAGTTTACAGCTGTAACCCGATGAAGATTTTGAGGAATCCAAACTATGTACATGTGGTATTTTAATGGCTATTTCTCTCTCCCCCAAAAGAAGTCGGTTGCCAAGAGACAGAAAAAAGATTGTTCTGTCTCCTTGTTTTATCCGTATTTTCCCCTCACTGATGCAGAAGATGAAACTCAAGCTCTGAGCTGGCATTCCTCAATGCCCCTCATTTCCCATACCATTCCTCTACCGTCACTATAAAATAAAAAAAAAGCGCAATCTGCACATTTCATACATATAGGAAAGGGCTATTCTTCCCCGCGCTACCTCAGTGGGACATTGCAAAGGCAATTTTTTGGCCCACACAATGGGATGATCAGTAAAGCATTACCCAGAAGGTGAAACATGTTCATTACAAGGCAGCATTTATAAGTCACTGCCCAGCTTTAAAGCTGGGTCAGCTTCAATACGTACATCGAATTCAAGTAGTGCATCGATTTGTTCCTGCAATATTGGCATGCTCTTCAGCAGCTTTTCAGGCGCCATTGTTCTCATTACACCGTCGGCTCTGTGAGGGGGAAAACAGATTAGAAGCCACGGCGTTTCCCCTCTGCCTCCCCCAAAATTGATTTGTTGTCTAAATTTAAGCTTAAAGCAGCTATAATCCGTTTCAAATGTTTGGGGCGCTGTGTGATTCTCCTGCTCCTCACATCGTTGTGAGAGCTGAGGTGAAAAATGCTTCATCCAGCCACCCTCCCTGACAGCAGGTGAAGAAAGGTTTTGTGTTAGATTGATGAATGCAAGAGATTGCTCTCTTCATGGAAAAAAAGATACAGAGTTTAAATAACTTGGCAAGAAATAGTCTCACAGAAGTACTTAGAGTGCTGATAATCTTCCTGCATCAAGTTTGTAATGAATAACTAATGATAACTGATTGCTATGGGTACTTTTTAAAGACGTGTGTGTGGCCAGTGAAGACCAAAAAAAATCTATAGGCTGCTTTTTTTCCCCGCTTCAAGTGCCACAATATGTGCGTGCCAACTCTGTTAAATCAGGGCGATCTTTGCTTAGAGCTTCTTTCCTCAGCTTATTTCCTTCCTTCCTTTTCCTGGGTACTAATTAATTCCATTACTCCTTCATAGCACTTCCACTGACTTTGATCTCCCTTATCATCCTGAACCATTACTCCAACAGGATGATGCAGCAGTCACGGACACATAATTGCCCCCCGTAGTTTTACAGGAGTCTTTACACGTGCCCATTTTTATCTCTGAATATCACAAACCTGCACAACCACCATGATGTATTGCCCCGTTCCAGCCACCAACAGGTACAGCATCTCCTCTCAGGGAACACATACCACCATTTTTACTTATTTTATGCCATACTCTGAGGCAGCACCTCGTTTCAAGCACCAGAAATAACACACATTGGAAGCCTTTCCAGGAACGTATAAGCAAGGCAGGAATAGAAGGATTCCCAGCAACTCAAACTTATGTTTATTTAAGATGAAGTGTTTGAAGGCACTAGGTGACGAAGGGAACTTAAGATGCAACAGCATCCTGCTGGATCAAAGCCTGCCTGAAATATCAATCCAATTGCCTACTAGTCTTCATGTCAGAAACTTCTCCATGATTGCTATTCCAGACAGGTTCAAGAGCGGTCCCCACTGTGGGAATGGCATCCAGCTACACAACAGTTTGAGAGGCAGGAGAGGAAAGCCTGGGAGTGCTGCCTGCATTAACATCACAGAATCCCAGGCTGCCAAATATACCCCAACTGCCAGAAGGATCCTGTATGCAACTCAAAATTAGCAGGAGCATCTTCAATTGACTACACACTAAGGGGCACCTTCAGTGCATGTTAAGCCACTTGCTATGTTGTCTGTGCCTCAAGAGAGAATCTAGAGCCATTGAAGTCCCAGTGAGAGGAGTCAGAGATCTGAAAAATTATGTGATAAATACCAACATACTACTCTGGGCTGGGTTACCTTTTTTTTTTTTTAAACATGGTCCTTGTGGGAAATAAAACCAGTAGTTTACAACCTTATTCTATTCAGTTTATAACTGTTACCTCCAAAAAACTTCAGGTGTTTGCTTCAGTTTTCCTTTGTAATCATCTTTCTTATGGAAAGGGTCTGGAGAGTAACGAAATATCCTAAATATAGTTTCAGAGCATTTTCTTTTCTGAATCCTAAACACAGTCTCGCTGCAGCGGAATTTATTAAGAGTCAGATTTAACACCTAGCTCTAAAAGCTCCCAGTTCTGCAGGGCACCTTACTTTAGTCATCATTATTTGCCCTCCTACCCACAGTCTTTCCTCTCCTCCCTGTGCAATTTTTAACCAATTACAAATACATAGGAAATCCAACCATTTTGGTGTTTCATCATCTAAACAAAGTAAGAGTGAAGTCACTGAGATACTAAAATTAAGTGTAATGCCACAAATAAGACTTCCATGGTTCAGGCAATCCTATCCCTTTACGTATCTAAACTTTGCTTACCCTTTCTTCACTCTTGCAAAGTCAAATGCCATCTGTCTGTAGGAAAACGCTTTTTCATTCAAGTATCTACTATAACGCCTTATGAAGGTGGACATGTCGTAGCCTGCAAAAAACAGTTACACGTTTTGCATTTAATTTCCATGCTTGTTTAGAGGTTCTTTAGTAATATACAGTCAATTGTATAATGATACAGTCTGATACTGATAATATACAGTCTGATACTGATAATATACAGTCAATAGATCCTAAGGTTACATGATCTCTGTTGCACTGTACAACTCCACATGCAGAACAGGCATCACAAGACATCTTGCAGCTTCTGAAGAAAAAGCAGTAGTGCTGCACCCAAAAATCTGTCCTCTGCTTCCAACAGATTCATCCAGTGGCATGGTTCCTGGGGGAACCTGCTCGTGGCTCCTACACAGTTATGTGGTAATGTTATTTGAGGGTGACATTAGTTACCCATCTACTAAGGGGAGAAAAATGCCAATTTAACACAAAGTTTATACTTAATTGGTACGTGACTTACAGGGGAAAGATCAATTTCAACTGAAACACTTCTGCTATTTTATATATGTCAGTCCCTCTAGCTTTTACATTGACCTTCAAGATTCCCCTGACTAGGTTTATCGGAACAAAGAAATGATGATGGCATTCACAGGGATGAGTGTTGTCTTTGAACTCTTACACCAGAGATCTTCAAGGCACACGATACTGTACAAGCAGCCTCAAACTCGAGTGACCTTCAAGCCTAGAAGACTTTTGAGCAGTTCGTATTACAGCCTACCCTTCAGGTATTTCTTTCAAAGTTTCTTCCTCTACGCTACAGAAATTTGTGCAGAAATATCCTCCTCTTCAGTACAAGTCTCCGTTTGGTACCTTTATTAAAATCCACACACCTTGACTTAGTCACTGACTGTATTTTTCCTTAATACCTCTCAACATGAAGTATCTCTGCCAACTCAGGCTTAACACTACCGACTCTGATGCCTCATTATCTATGACACGCTATTGTATTATCTCTGAAACGACAATTTAAGTTTAAAGAAAGTGGCAGAGAACACAAAAGCATGCATTTAACAGAATTCATTGATGCCAAATACCAGTATCTCTGAACACACATAGCATGTTTTCCTTAGACAAACCTTAGAGTTTTAAGATGTGTTTGGCTTTGTTCTTGCCACGTGATACCCTTTCTAAAAGATGCTCAAGACACACATAGCATGTTTTCCTTAGACAAACCGAGTTTTAAGAAGTGTTTGGCTTTGTTCTTGCCACGTGTTACCCTTTCTAAAAGATGCTCAAATCTTGGTGTCACGTCCCCACGTTACATGGAGTTACATGGCATTGCTTCGACCTTGCACGTTATTGTAGCATTTCTGCATTCTGCCTACAGTCTACAAATATTCTGAGAGCTGCAGAATGATAGGTTTTCCCTCTTCTCTAGAAGAGCTATCATGAAACAAGCTTTTCCTCTCTTAAGTGAGGGACCAGGAAAATTCACTAAAAATTCCAGAGTCAAAGTAGAAAAACAGATTTTTGTAAGCTTTAGACAAAAGTCCTTAATTTCTGCCTAGACCTTTCTAAACTCACTACTCAGATCAAAACCATCTAGCTCTTTTGGTGCCCTCGGCAGTTCACTTGAGCTCCTGTATTCATTAAGCACTTATAAAAAGGTAGCACATTTTTGTATTATTTACATCTTATGAACGAAGGAGCAAATTAACAATAGTATCTTATTTAGAATCTTGTTAAGATTAAAGACATGAGTAGGCTTACCGTGAGATCCACTTTTGTCCAGAAAATTGCTGAGATTGAACAATGTGTTTCTAGATGCCAGGTACTGAATAAATCTCTGCAACACAAAGTTATTCTCTTATCACAGGCTCTATCTGAAGGCTTTGTACCTCTTAGCAGGAAGATCACCAGTCTAGTTCCAGCACACACGCATGAAAACCCAGATTTTTGTCTCAGCCTGCAATACCTTCCTCAAAACCTTTTTCATCCATTTGGATTAATTACATTTAGCCTGAATCTCTACTAAATATCCTGTCGTACACATAAAATTAGATTCTCTGCAAAATACAAACCAGATTGTGGAAGGAGCAATAAAAATGGTTAATTATCAAAGAGGCTGGAGGAAGCAGAAGATTTATCTGCTACCAAAGCTGCATATCCAGGATAGTCCCAGGATTTTCAATCCAGCAGCCCCCAGCTTCAGCCAAGCCAAGGGCCCATTTTAATAACAAGCAGGCCCCACATCAAGTACAGGGACTAACAGCCTGAAACAGTTACTGAAAGGAAATCAGAATATTGGCCAGAACTTGGAATGCAAATATAGGACAAGAGTGAAAATTTACGCTGTGACATTGGAGTTCATTGCATGAAAAAAAAGCTTTACATACAGCCAGGGAGGAATTGTTTCCCAGTCATACTGAAGCTCTTTAAGCATGCTTTTTGTTTTTACGCAGACATACCAGTCTACACAGGTCAATAAAAAGCAAGGGCAAGGAAAACACAACCCAAAAAGGCTATCAAACTGAATTTACAATTCTAGAAAGATTTTAATGCTCATTCAGAGAGGGCAGCTATTCAGACGGCAGTACACACGTGCCAGAACATCAGCTTTGACTCTAGTGAAAAAGCCCCAGGTAGTCTTTAATCTTGCATAACTCAGTTTCCAGACAGCACATAAACTGTCGGCGTCCTGGAACAGGCTGCTGCTTTCTCTTATGCTACAGCTTTGTAAATGAAGAGACAGATGATCCTCATGCCTCTAAAGATGTTGTTAAGGTAGGTTTGCTCCTCATCAAGAACCATCCCTGCCCTTTGTTCTCAGGTCCTTCCTGGTTCAGAAGAGATGCCTTTGCCCTACACAGGTTTTTGGCTTGAAGTCTGCTGGGTGCCAACGTGCTCTCGAGAAAAAGCTGACCACGCTTACCTCATTGCCATGAACCATTAGATGATGTGTGGTAACTAAGGCTTTGAATACGACCACCCAGCTGCTATTGGTTGCTCGCTCGAAAAGTGTATCGGCCATCTGAGGAATATTCACGTTCGTTTCATTAGTTGCTTGGATCAAGTCTGTCGGAGAGAGACAAGGAAGGTGTCAGGTGCCACAAATGAGATGGAAGAGTTTGTGGTGTGGGCCAGCTCTCAGCCCACCAGGCTGAAGGTTATGGTTGTGACAAACAGCAAGTTCAATGTTTACTATACTTAAAAAACAAAACAAAACCAAACCAAAGCAAAACAAAAACCCAAACAAAAAAGAATTTCTCTTAGTACATGCTGACATTAACACTGGTCTGACTCTTTAGTCCAGCAGTACTAGCTTTCCAACAGTTCTGCCCTGAGCTACATCCCAACATTTTTCCTTCTCCATAGCCTACGTATTTCATCCAATATTTCCTTTGCATCTGGCCCCTGAAAAATGAAAGCCGAGCCACAGCTTAGACGGGATATTTTTTGGCATAGAGGTCTTTATAGGGTTATTTATAGGGTCATTTCTCTCTCTTATTGCATGTCTATATAAAAATATATATATATATGAATACCCCCACACTTTGTAGTTTTTTTAAGGAAAAGCTACTGAAAGGAATATTCCTGCTATTTTTGTGTGTTGTTTTAGTAAACATAAGTACACAGCATTGTACGTATGTATATTATATATATTAAATGTACGTGTAAAAAGGATTCTAATGGTCATTGAGCCATGCAGCAGTTCTGAGAGAGCAGGGAAGCAGCATGTGAACATGAGAAGAGAAGACCCAGGGGGACCTCATCACAATATTCCAGTACTTCAAGGGCAGCTACAAAGAAGATGGAGGCTCTCTCTTCACAAGGAAAACACAAGGAACAACAGGAACCAGTTGTACTGAGAGAGGCTGATATAAGAATTTTTTTATAGCAAGAACAATCATGCACTGCAACAACTTCCCCAGGGACGTGGCAGAGTCCCCATCACTGGAGGTTTTCAGGATGCAATTGGACAGGGTGCTGGATAATCTTATCTAGACTCCCAGGAAAGACAGGACCAAGTGTTCTTTTGAGGTTCTTCCAACGTGGGCTGTTCTACGATTCATCCCAGATGAAGTCAGGGTGCACAACATCCCGTGACTTTACTCCCTACGGGGTTTTCAAGTTAATTGTGGTGGTTCACTGACTCTGGGTTAGATGAGTAAGTATTACTGAATTCTTCACTTACAGGTAACACGTCAAACACACTGAACCCAGTCACATCAGCAAAAGGAGGTATCACCAGAAACAGATACTCTAGTCATCCCAGAGGTTAGAATTTCATCAGCATGGTACAACACAGCTCCTAGAGCCTCTACAGACCTAGACAGCAGAAGAGCACATTCAGGCATGCATTAAGACCTCCTCAACAATAGGAAAGAAGGCAAAAATAGACATTAGTTCATACTGAAGAATAATAGTCTCCTGCAAGCAACTGCACCTTATACAGAAGAAGTAAGACATCAGACTGTCTTAGGGAACAAGAATAAAATACAGCTTTGTGTCCTGTACGTTAGGAAGGTGCAGACTTGCAGAGGAGGGTACATGAAATTAAAGTACTTAAATCATAAGTAGTAGGGCAGCAACAAGTGATTTTTATGTTTTGGTTTTTTTTTTTAATTCTGTTAGACAGACTCATGTAAGATACAAGAAATCTATAGCTCAGAGTCAGAAGCCTGTGAGAACTGCAGTGATTGTGTTTAAAATTGCCTTTTGTTTGGGCATAAAACCTGCAAGTTGTCTTCAGTTTCATGTCAGTGGAATGATTTTCTGCAATGAGACAGAAGACAAGAGTTATGTGATCTCTTCACCAAGGTTGATTTGCAAGTGTTTGTTTTCAGGGTGTTTTTTTGGTTTGGTTGTGAGCGTTGGTTTGGGGTTGGTTTTTTTTTGCAGAACGCCTTCTGAAATGTAAACTCAACTTTTATAACCTCAGTAATACCACCCCTGAAGAAGGCAGTTCTGCAAACAAAGTATGATGGGAGATAAAGCCACGCTATTGAATGACAGCAGTTCAAGCTCACAGAGCACCAACAATTCTCCTTGATCATCTTGTACCAACAGGTCAGAGAGGTGTGACTAAATTTAGCCCTACTACTTTCAGTGCACAGGAAAGAATCAAACCCCACATGAAGATTTCACCCATCATCTGAGGGAGAAAAGGAGGAGATGGGGGATTCATTCTTTCAGAGCTGTTTCCCATTAAGTCATGCCACGTTCTGTTAGACAGACTCATGTAAGATACAAGAAATCTATAGCTCAGAGTCAGAAGCCTGTGAGAACTGCAGTGATTGTGTTTAAAATTGCCTTTTGTTTGGGCATAAAACCTGCAAGTTGTCTTCAGTTTCATGTCAGTGGAATGATTTTCTGCAATGAGACAGAAGACAAGAGTTATGTGATCTCTTCACCAAGGTTGATTTGCAAGTGTTTGTTTTCAGGGTGTTTTTTTGGTTTGGTTGTGAGCGTTGGTTTGGGGTTGGTTTTTTTTTGCAGAACGCCTTCTGAAATGTAAACTCAACTTTTATAACCTCAGTAATACCACCCCTGAAGAAGGCAGTTCTGCAAACAAAGTATGATGGGAGATAAAGCCACGCTATTGAATGACAGCAGTTCAAGCTCACAGAGCACCAACAATTCTCCTTGATCATCTTGTACCAACAAGTCAGAGAGGTGTGACTAAATGTAGCCCTACTGCTTTCAGTGCACAGGAAAGAATCAAGCCCCACATGAAGATTTTACCCATCATCTGAGGGAGAAAAAGAGGAGATGGGGGATTCATTCTCGCAGAGCTGTTTCCCATTAAGTCATGCCACAAAGTTAAGGAATTGAAGCTTCCTGGGTTTCTTTCCCCAGTACCATAGAGTCTCAGTTTAACCAGCAATCATCAGTGTCTGGAGCAACTCACAAGCATATGTAACCAAAAAAAAAAAAACCTCTGAGCTGCAGCTAAATTTTAAAGTAAGACTTGGCAAAATTAATTTGACTTCAGTGTGGTAGGGAAGAATAGTTACAAGGGAAAAGAAAATGCATACAAGGAAAAACAAAATCTAGAAGCTACATTTTCTAAAGATACAGATCCAGACATTTACCGCTGGGACAGGGATTCAGTTTTCAAAAGAGACGATGAAGTTCAGTCTTCCCAGCAAGTCACAGGTGGATTCATTAATACAAACCAGATAACATTAATCACAGTACATTATTCCTCCCAGAAATCTATAGCTCAGAGTCAGAAGCCTGTGAGAACTGCAGTGATTGTGTTTAAAATTGCCTTTTGTTTGGGCATAAAATCTGCAAGTTGTCTTCAGTTTCATGTCAGTGGAATGATTTTCTGTAATGAGACAAAAGTTATGTGATCTCTTCACCAAGGTTGATTTGCAAGTGTTTGTTTTCAGGGTGTTTTTTTGGTTTGGTTGTGAGCGTTGGTTTGGGGTTGTGTTTTTTTTCAGAACACCTTCTGAAATGTAAAGTCAACTTTTATAACCTCAGTAATACCACCCCTGAAGAAGGCAGTTCTGCAAACAAAGTATGACAGGCGGTAAAGCCACGCTATTGTATGACAGCAGTTCAAGCTCACAGAGCACCAACAATTCTCCTTGATCATCTTGTACCAACAGGTCAGAGAGGTGTGACTAAATTTAGCCCTACTACTTTCAGTGCACAGGAAAGAATCAAACCCCACATGAAGATTTCACCCATCATCTGAGGGAGAAAAGGAGGAGATGGGGGATTCATTCTTTCAGAGCTGTTTCCCATTAAGTCATGCCACGAAGTTAAGGAATTGAAGCTTCCTGGGTTTCTTTCCCCATAGAGTCTCAGTTTAACCAGCAATCATCAGTGTCTGGAGCAACTCACAAGCATATGTAACCATCAAAAAAAAAAAAACCTCTGAGCTGCAGCTAAATTTTAAAGTAAGACTTGGCAAAATTAATTTGACTTCAGTGTGGTAGGGAAGAATAGTTACAAGGGAAAAGAAAATGCATACAAGGAAAAACAAAATCTAGAAGCTACATTTTCTAAAGATACAGATCCAGACATTTACCGCTGGGACAGGGATTCAGTTTTCAAAAGAGACGATGAAGTTCAGTCTTCCCAGCAAGTCACAGGTGGATTCATTAATACAAACCAGATAACATTAATCACAGTACATTATTCCTCCCATTTCCTCTCTTCACATGTTGGTAGCTGCTATTTTGAACACTTACTCAGTCTGGAGATCCTTGTTTAAATTATAATTTGGATTTCAATATACTTTTTCTAGTTAAGTTTTGAGATGCAAAACCAATGTACATAGAAATAAATGGTTATCAATTCTTTGACACCATGACTTAAATCTAAATACCAGTCTATAAACTTTTTGATTAGCCAACTTTTTGATCCAGTCTTAAGACACCTGCAACTTAATTAGGGAAGAGAAGCTAGAGCATGATTAACACCTTCATTAATAAAACGACAAACCTGCCAAATTGAGGAAGGTCGGTAGAGGGTTCAGTGAGGGAGATGGAAGTAAATTAAGACACCTTAGCTCTTCCTGACCTTTTAAAGAGATCACTTAAAAATGTGACTAGTTTTGGTGTTCACTAAGATCACAAGGCAAAAAAGAGAACAGCAAGAAAACTTCAAAGTCTTCAGAATTTCAGACTACTTCAGTCTCATTAAAAGCAACTTCCTGGTTTTGAGATTTTTTATTTTTTTTTTTAATGAGAGAGATTATACAACACTTTAAAGAATCTCTCTTATTTCTTTACCTTTTCAGATTGTATTCTGTATCTGGGCAGGGCTATTTCTTGTTTTGTTTGGGGGATTTCTTTTTTTACTCAATTCCTTAACAAACAGACCTGGGATTCCCCAGTTCAAAGTTAATTCTACACAATTTACATTTCAGCACGCAGAGGAAGAGCAGCAGAGGGCAAGACTTCTCTGTTCAGAGGGATATTGGTGCCCACATAAGAGCAGCTGTCATTCCAAGCTGAATTAACACACGAGCTGCCTCAGCATCTGAGCTGTGCTCATATATTCAGGTCCTAAACTTTGCCAAATCTCTCCAATAGTAACCCCCTTACAGACCTTCC